AGCTCCGAGATGGCCGCCAGGTGGACCTTGATGGAGGAAAAGGACAACCCCTGAAGTCTCAGATGCAACAAGTAATCCAGGATGTCCTGGAGCGAGGCTTGCTTGGCCCGAAGACGTCTCTCTGCAGCCCAGCACTCAAACCTTTTCCACTTTGCCAGGTAGGTTGCCCTGGTCGAGGGTTTCTGCTGCCAAGCAACACGTGTTGAACATGGGCCGAACATGCTCTTTCATCTGCATTCAGACATGCCATCAGATGCAGCGCCGCCAGGTTTGGGTGCAGCAGGTTGCCATGGTTCTGAGACAGTAGATCCCGTCAAAGAGGCAGCGGGAGGGGGTGGCTGCTGAACCAGTGCTGACGGGGCCACGCCAGAGCCAAGAGGATGACTTTCGCTCTGTCCTGGTTGACCTTCACAGGGACCCTGTGGATCAATGGCACTGGTGGAAAGACATACATAAGCACCCCGTCCACAGAATGAGGAAGGCGTCCGAGAGGGAACCCCTTTCGGACTGTGGATGGAGCAGATGGTGGCACTTCCTGTTCTGCCTGGACGCGATCAGGTCTACCTGGGGAGTTCCCCACCGTTGGAAAATTACGCTGACCATCTCCGGATGGAGGGACCACTAGTGGTGAGACAAGAAGATCCTGCTGAGGCGATCTGCAAGGACGTTCCTGGAGCCATGCAGATGGGTGGCAACCAGATGAATGGCGTGCTGCACACAGAAGTCCTATAGGGTAAGCGCCTGGCTCCTCCCTGCCTCTTGATGTAGTACATCGCTGCAGTATTATCTGTCAGTACCTGCACCACCTTGCCTTTCAAGCGAGGTAAGAATGCCTAGCAGGCCAGGCGAACCGCTCTGAGTTCCCTGACATTGAGCTGGAGGGCCAGGTTGTCCCGCATCCAGCGGCCCTGAATGCTGAACTCACCCAGGTGGGCTCCCCAGCCCAGATCTGAGGTGTCGGAGACCAGGGTCAACGACAGGGATGGGGCCGCGAAGGAAACCCCCTGCAGCATCAACCTGGGGTGCAACCACAAGCTCAGGGACAAAAGGACGTGGTTTGGTACCGTGACCAATCTGTCCAGGGAGTGTCTGTTGAGGATATAAACCAAGACCGGCAATGCCTGCAGTGGCCACAGATGAAGACTAGCATGGCTGACCACGTATGCACATGCGGCCATGTGCCCCACCAGATGAAGACAGGTGTGGGGTGTAGTGAGCGGGTGCCTTCTTAAATGGCAAATCAGGTCCGCGATAGCCTGAAACCGTGTTTCTGAGAGGAAGGCTCTGGCCCCACGTGGAGTCGAGAACAGTCCCGATGAACTCTGTGTGTTGAGCTGCCGTTAATGTGGATTTTTCTGGGTTTTCTAACAGGCCCAGGTCGCAGCAGTTAGAGTGCACCAAGTCGAGACTTCGCTGCACCTGCTCCGGAGACGTGCCCTTGATGAGCCAGTCGTCGAGGTACGGGAACAGATGGACTCCTCAACCCCCACATCTGAGGTAAGCGGCAACCTGCGCCTGCACTTTGTAAACACCCTGGGGACCAAGAGAGGCCAAAGGGTAGTGCCATGACTTGGGAATGGCGTCCTCCCACTACAAAACGGAGGAAGCGCCTGTGGCCCGGGAATATAGAAATGCAGAAGTAAGCGTCTTCCAAGTCAAAGGCAGTGTATCAGTCTCCCAAATCCAGGGAGGGGATGATGGGGGCCAGGGAGACCATGCAAAACTTCAGCTTCATGAGAGACTTGTTGAGGCGGCGCACGTCCAGGATGGGTCTGAGGCAGAGGTGGGCAAACTTTTTGGCCTGAGGGCCACATCTGGGTACAGAAATTGTATAGCAGACCATGAGTGCTCATGAAATTGGAGTCTGGGGTGTGTGTGTTGGGGGGGGGGGGTGAGGGCTCCAGCTGGGGAGGCAGGCAGGCTCTAGGGTGGGGCTGGGGATGAGGGATTTGGGGTGCAGGAGGGTGTCCTGGGCTGGGATGGATGGGTTCAGAGGACAGGAGGGGAATCAGGGCTGGGGCAGGGGGCTGGAGCATTGAGGGCTCTGGCTGTGGGGGCAGGCTCTGGGGTGGGGCTTAGGATGAGGAGTTTCGGGGTGCAGGAGGGTGCTCCGGGCTGGGACCGAGGGGTTTGGAAGGTGGGAGGGAGATCAGGGCTGGAGGTTGGGGCGGGGGGGGGGCGCGGCTCAGGAGGTGCAGGCTCCAGGCAGCGCTTACCTTGAGCAGTTCTCGGAAGCAGCAGCATGCCCCTTTCCGGCTCCTATGCGGCGCCGCCCCTGCAGCTCCCATTGGCGGAGCGGTGCGGCGGGCGAACATGCTGCTGCTTCCGGGAGCCATGCGGAGCGGCCCTCGACCCTGCTCCCCGTCGGGAGCTCGAGGGCCAGATTAAAAATGCTGATGGGTCGGACACGGCCTGTGGGTCGTAGTTTGCCCACCCCTGATCCAAGGCCTCCTTTCACTTTCGAGATTAGTAAGTACCAGGAGTAGAACCCCTTTCCTGTCATGTCCTGAGGAACCTCCACCATGGCCCCTAGACACAGGAGGTTCTTGACCTCCTGAACGAGGAACTGCTCGTGAGAAGGGTCCCTGAAGAGGGACGGGGAAGTGGGGGGGCGGGGGCAGCGGTCAAAAATTTCAGGGTATAGCCCACTGATATTATATCCAGAACCCAGCCATCTGACATAACCTGCAACCGGGCTGAGGGTAGGGGAACAGGCGGTTGAGGAAAGGTAGCAGTGGATCTGGAGAATTGACTGGGGCGTCACTCTCGACCATGCCATCAAAATGAGTGTTTCTGCCCTGCAGAATGCTTGGTCTGGCCGGTTTACACAGGCAAGCGGGAGGTAGAAGGGCGGCAATGACTAAAAGTAGTGTCCCTGTCCTTTCTTTTTGCAGGTCCAGGGTGAGACTGCCATGACCTCAACGGAGGGGGCGGCCAGAATGGTTTATGCACCGACTGCAGTGTGTGGATACCCAGCAAACAGAGGTAGCCTGGGTGTCCTTCATCCCATGCAGCCTCACATCTCAGAAGATGCTCAGAAAACAGACCACTTCCGTCAAAGGAAGGTCTTGTATAGAGGTCTGCATCTCCTGGGAGAGACCTGCGATCTGAAGCCAGGAGCTGCACCTCAACCACTGAGGACGCCACCACCCTGGCTGCCGAGTCCGCCGTGTCCCAGGCCATCTGAAGGGCACAGCAGGCTGCCGAAGTGCCCTCCTGCACCAATGCAACCAACTCCTTGGCCTGGTCCTATGGGGAGTCAGTCCTTGAATTTATGGAGAGAGTCCCATAAATTGAAGTAACAGCGGCTCAGGAGGGCTTGGTAGTTTGCCACACAAAACTGTAGACTTGCAGTGGAATAAATTTTCCTTCCGAACAAGTAGAGTCTTTTGGCCTCCTTATTTCGCGGGGTGGCGCTGGTGTGTCCCTGCTTCTCCTTTTCATTGACAGCAGAGATCACCAGCAAGCCTGGAAAAGGGTGGATATGAAGACATTCAAAGTTTTTGGCCGGCACAAAGTATTTTTTCTCAGCCCGCTTTGAGGCGGGAGGGATGTAGGAGGCATCTGCCAGATACCCTTGGCAATTTTCAGGACCCCTTCGTGAATGGGTAGTGCAATACGCGTAGGCTGAAGGACATTGAAGAACGTGTCCTCTTGCTCGGCCATCTCCACCTGCAGGCCCAGGTTGTCCGCCCTGTCAGAACAAGGCCTGGGGGTCCTTAAAGTCGTCAGGTGGGCTGGCACTGGAGGGCCCCATGACAATCTCGATAGGTGATAAGAAGGACTGAACCAATGGAGGGGGGGCTTTGTCGTTGTCCTCTGCTGGGGAGGCTGGCTTAGGCATAGGTGTAGCCTCGGTCACTGGGTGTGCCTCCGGCGCTGGGGCTGGTACTGACGGTGCCAGCGGTTGCTGCTCCGTGGCTGCTGCAGGCGATTGAGCCGATGGGGGCAATACCGTGACCAGAACCTCCCAAGTGTTCTAACATGGCCACTGAACAGGCCGCTGTCCTGATTGCCACTGCCCCAGTGCCGCCACTGGCTCGGATGCCCAATCTCGCTGCTAAGGTTGAGGTGATGGGCTCAAATGTCCCTGTGTTCCGGAGGAGCCCCCTCCTGGGGACCACGGAGGGGCTGTCAAGGCCTGAGTTTGCTTTGAGACCACCGTCATTGGAGACCGGTACCCCTCCCGAGGTGACCGGTATTGCTGGTGCAGGGAGCAGCTGTGGTGCCGGGGCAGGAGGGAGATCATTCCCACGGCATCAGTAACTGGGACTGATGTCGATAATGGGGGACTGGCGCCTCTCTCTTGATGAATCATGTCAAGAAGGCGGCAACTGCGAACGTGGAGCCGGAGACCAACGGTAGGTTCACGATGATTTAAGGGGACAAATAAAGACAAATGATTTGTACATGTTTTGAACATTTTTGTCCAGGGAAGCCATATATTCAAAATCATCATTTATAAAGATGGGAGTTATCAGCATAAATTGATAAATTACAATAAAGTAAGGAGGGATGTTGGATTACTGGCACTTTCACCAATCCATGAGAACTGAAACAGCAAGATTTATAATGCGCTATTTTCCTTTCTCCATGTTTGCAGCATTTGTGAGCTCATGCTTACTGTGCTAAAGAGTCAAATATGGTTATTGTGCAGGATAGGACAGAGGAGCTAAGAGTAAAATTAACTGTCATTTTCTAAATGACTATTTTACATTTTATGCCACCATATCAACTCATGGTTCAAAATATAATCCTGAAAAAACTATTACAACACAAAATGAAGATGGATATCTTAAGCACCTCACAAAATGAACAAAAGGTGAATAAAGTGGATTTAAATACACCACAGATTAAATTGCTGTATATCACATTTTAAATGGAGAGTCTGAAGTCAAAAGATAAAACTGCTTTCTGTGATAAATTCAAGGTTTCCCAGTATCTCTCTGCTTCTAGACTCCAGGATATTCCACAGTAAGTCAAAAGGAATTAGTCACTCTTGTGTGTAAGGCCATCACAAGACCTATTCATCACAATTGTCATGTTATGCCCTCAAAATAAGTCGTAAATAAAGCCTTGTGCTGCCTCTTAGGGGTTAATTCCACCCAAAGTTAACTCCATTTTTAAACAACATCAGGTTAGGTGAAGTCATGTCAGTTTCTTGCATCATTCAGTGTCAGTTACCACTACAGTACCTACGAATATGTTAGGTACTTCAGTTTCCAACTAATTGAATTTGAATATTAATTTCATTTGAGAAGACTAAGGTTTTCCCCATCTTTTGGAAATTGTTTGACCATTAAAGCCTTTTATATTTTCAACCCAATAAACTGCCTGCAAAACAATGTTCTTTGTAGTGTTGTTGTAGCCATGTTGGTCCCAGGGTATTAGAAAGACAAGGTGGGGGAGGTAGTATCTTTTACTGGATCAACTTCTGCTGGTGAAAGATGCAAGCTTTCAAGCTACACAGAACTGCTTTACAGGTCTCAGGCTGAAGAGCTCTGTGTAGTTCAAAAGCTTGTCTTTCACCAACGGAAGATTGTCCAGTAAAAGACTACCTTACCCACCTTTTCTCGCAAAATAATGGAAACAGCTCATTTTAGCTACAGTATACTGAGCACAACGCACACAGTACTGGGTAAAAGGGATTTGGATGAAATACTTCAGAGGAAATCATGTCTGGAGTTCTGAAAAAACTAATAGAAAAATACAACTCATAAGAATGCACATAAAACAGGTACAAAGAATAGATTAATGTGTGCAGAAAAGACCCTTAACACCAAGAGCTGATAAATGGATTCTGGAACCAGAAATTGTAGATATATGGATCAGTTCTATTAGAAAAACATGCTATAAACAGCTGGTAATAGGCTTGAAAGCAGCCTGTAATAAGGTTACCTCTGTTCTGGACTGCTGCTATCAGGCTGTGGAGTAGCAGGATTTTCTTCTACAGCTTCTGTGTTCTCCTCCACCACATATTTACAAGAAACATCTTGCGAGGTAGACAATTTTCCTTCCTCACTAAATAAAAAGCAGGTTACAATTTAACTTTAGTTATGGATGTAGGGAATTTCATGCAATAGTTGGAGACTGAGGGAAGAGTCCAGACTACATGCAAATGGTTTTTGAATTATGATTGAAGCATGGAAATCAAGTACGGGAATCTGGACTCTGTAGACATCCATTAGCACATCAGTGTTCTGCACACAAACTGGATTGAAAAAATGCATGAAATACAATGATTACATACAAGTGCAAGGAGGGAATAAAGAATGTGCTTGGTGCCTGAAGTGAGAACAATCACAGCCTTTACCGTACATACCGATAGGATTTCAACACTCTGAAGCCAAAAGTATGCAAAAAATAGAAGGAGAAAAGTATAAAAGACTTGAGGTTCCTTTCAAAATTAGCACTTTGACTAAATTTGTCCATGGAAAAGCACATCAGCAAAACCAGCCTTATATTTCTCTTTTTATAAAGCCACTTATTTATATTACACTCTACTCATTCAAAATTCCTAAAGAAGACATCTTTTCATTTGGAGGCTAAAGTACAACTGGCATATGTTGCATAGCACTAAAACAGACGGACAATGAACAGCACACATTTGAGAAAAAATGATCATTTATGTAGTTGGGTAGGGTTTTTATTCAGCTAGAAATACACATGAAACGTGTGAATTTCCCTTACAGTCGTGAAGCCTACGATGGGGTGGGGAGGAAACATCTATATTTATTAAAAAGTTTTTGCCCTTCCCATTTGCACTCCAATGCTACATGTTCTTTTTTTGCTAGCTACTCTGTTATGGGTATGTTCATACCCAGAAGATGTCAGCCAACACCACACCTCTCAAACTGTAAGCCTGCCACCATATGACGTAAGTCATCTGACAAAGTCCTTTTTCTCTCAAGATTTGAGCGACTCTCCTCTCCCAGTTGTCCTACTACTTTGGTTGTTCTTTCAGTGGATCCTCCTGCTTTCATATCTCACTTTATCCAGGTATCCCATCCCACAAGGCTCTGTCCTTGGCCCACTTCCTTTCTTCCTGAAGATCCCATCTATAGATGGGCTCACTGACACTTTCAGATCCCGCTACCACCTCTGTGCCAATCATACTGACATCTCTCTACCACTGACCCATCTCCCTCCATTATCATTTGTTTGCATTACAGTAGCACCTAAGAGCTCATCCATCTAAACTGGCATCTCCTTTTAGATGTTTTGTCACTAACTTAAATGTAATATAACCAAAACTTAACTCAAGTCTGTCTCCTCCAAAGCCCTCCCCACTCCACCCATTCTCCATCACACCTGACACCTGCTATCCTTCCTGTCACACTGGTCCATAATATGGCTGTCAGCTTTGACTCCACCTTTGTTCAAGACCTGCACAACATCCAGGCCATGTCCAAATCTTCCTAATATTGACTCCCTAACATAGCTAATCCCTTTTTTCTTCATACCACTAAAATTCTTGTCTGGATCTTCTCCTCTCAGATAGGTTGTGACATGGCCAGAATTTTCTCCCACTTCTGGGTCTCTCCACTTCCTCTTCTTTCTTCACTGTTTGAAATTGAAACTTCTGGTCTTTATAGACCTTCACAACTTAAGTACCTCTACTCTGTCAGCTTTCATTACCCATTTAACAGTTTCTTCCATAAGCATTGCCATAAAGAGCAACACTAAAAAGAGTGCATGAAACACCCTTCCTAACTAGTCCATAAAGCTATTACTCTGTTCTCCTTTAAATCTTTCCTCAAGAGCAACTTTTCCCAAGATGCCTACCAAAAAACAAACAACAACCCCAACTGATGACAGATGCCCAAGAGGGATTTCTGGTATTTGTTTTGTCTTTGCAAATAAACACGCCTATAACTATTTTCCCCATCTTCTCCCCCAAATGTTTTTGATACCTCCTTTAAAATTAAAATTCTTTGGGGTAGGAACTATATGTACCTCCATGTGTGTATTTTAGCACGAAAGGGGCCCAATTCTGATTACAGCCTCCACGTGCTACCTCAATTCAAACAACAGTTAGTAATAATAAATTAGCTGACCTAAAGTAAGCCCTAAATACATTTACTGAAAACCCCTTGTGCAATCTCAAGTTTCGCTCCCATGGTTCAGAGAAAAAGAGGGAGACTGATCTGAACACCCAAGTCTCTCTGGGATCCTGTCAATTTCATTATACCAATTTTCTATCAGCAGCAGCCTAAATAAATTCAAAATGAGAGAATATGGTAAGAATTTGTATACAGTGCCTAACTCAGGGAGGAACAAGTCAGAAGGACTGATGCAAATTTCTATATCCTCACTACTTCTGGACATCCCCACATCCCAAAGCTTTCCAAAGCAACAAATGGGGTTTTAGCCACACAAATATTGATTCTAATGGGAGTTCTACCGCTCCCACAAAATTCTGTGCACTGCTTTGAAATATTTACAGATTAGGATTACAAGGAATGAAAAGGCACATGATTACAATTGTCAGAGAGTTGATTTGATCAAAGCTTGCCATACTGCATTCTGGAACATTCCCCCGGTTTGTGGGATTACAAGTTACATGTTTTCCTATTCCAAGCTACTCTCCCATCTTTCACATTGACCTGATCTCTGTCTTACTAGGCATGCTATTAGTCTAGGGGACTTTCCTTTCAAATTAAAGGTATTTTGGGACTTTCATCTGAAGCTCAGGTCTAACTATATAGTCTCCTTCAGAGGGTTAGAAGTCAAGGTATCTTTCTACAATGAGTTTGTTTTTTTCACTCTTCTATGGCTCTCAGAATTCACAATTCTATAGCAAAGTACTTGTGAATGGAAGCAGCTTAGGCTGGAGGTAAAAGAACCATAATAGTAGGAATTGACTTCACGCTGCATGGATCAAAAAGTAAGGACCAGTCAAAATAAAAACGGACTATAAAATTCAGTGAAACAGGGATAGACTAGGAGAATAGTTAGATGTGCGATTTACTCAAACACTGGCCAAAAAGAGTCATATTTTGTTATATATAGAAAAACATCACCATCATGTAGCAATTTAGGGGATATACGCTCTAAACAGTTCTGCTGCTATTGCACAAGCAATTTTGCATTCAGTTTTAGACACCTCATGATCAGAAATACACTTTCAAACTAGAAGAAATTCAGAAGAGCAGCAACAATTATCATAGTGCTGGAAGGGATATGGGCGGGGGAGGGGAAAAGGGGAGTCTCCTGAGGTAGGAAATCTAACTAGAAAACTCTGCTAAAAGCTATAAAACTATTAAAAAACTAACTAAGGCAGTGGCAAGGCCAAAAGAGAGCACTTTACATTGAAAGTGGTCAGGGCTCACAATGAAACTGAGAAAACACCTGTGGTTTAAAGAACTATAGGCAAAAGCAAGTTTTGGAATATTTACAGATCAGAAAAATCGAAGGAAAGCTCCAGACACTGGACATTCTGATCCAGGCCATATGGCAGTAAGAAGGAACTGGAGAGGCAGTTAGTCCAGTCCTCTTCGCTCCACCCTTAAATTCCTTTGGTTGAAAGCACACAGAAGGCACGGGTGTATATATGGACCAAAGGACACTAATTGAAAGAATTCACCCACAGTGGAAGACACGTAGGGACCAATACTCGAAGAAGCAGCTCACTCACCCAAATGCCCTGGTCACACAAAACCTTCCCTAATTGAAAAAACAAGTCTCAATCTAAAAACTGACATCTCAACACAATTTGGTTAATAGTTCAAAAGGTTTTGTTTTTGTCCCAATGCATAACATAACCTAGCTCCATAACCTCTATCGAAATTTACATACGAATGAAAGCTCAGATAACAGAAAACTGGAGTCAGACTGTTAAGTTTAAAATCTCTGCATGCAGATGTCTAATTAGCGTCTTGGAAATCATTAGTTCTATGAAATACTTCCAAAAGGACTGAATAAAATGCTCAGTCAACATTTAAAACATTTTTAAAGGAGGAACAAAAAAATGTGTACACCCTGAGTGAATAAGAGAAATGAACTAGGTTTCCTCACCTTTTGAAGACAGCTGTTTCAGTTTTAGCATCTACAGTAAGGCTCAGTGTTTCCTTCATGCTGCCATTCATTACTGTCTCAGTTACCTTGTCTGCATTTTCCACATCATCTTCTCCATCTGAACTGGCCTCCATAGCAACACTTCCTTGGGCTGATACAGTGAAACAAATTAGGATATTGCTAATGATTTTTATAGTTAATGAGCAAATACAAATCAGTGAGGATGTGTAGGAGGATAATGTCTACTGTAATCATACATAATCTCCCTGCAGTTTTGTTTACTTTGCAAATCCTACATGGCAGGTAAAATATCAATTTTCTGCATCCTCAGCTCTGTGTGTGTACACACACACACACACACACACACACACACACACACACACACACACTACTAATACTAAATTAATT